TTGGATACAACAAGACTTTGGAGCTTATATCTAGAGATTTCTGGTGGCTACAAATGTGTAAGGGTATGAAAGACTTTGTTCAATCATGTGACATTTATTCAAGATCAAAAATTCATCGTCATCGACTTTATGGACTTCTTCAACAATTACCTATTTCAGAACAACCATGGTCTTTTGTTTCTATGGATTTCACCATAGATCTTCCAATCTCAGATTCTTATGACTCTATATTCATGATAGTAGATCATTTTACAAAGATGACATATTTTGTACCATGTACAAAATCTATCATAGGTAAAGAAATAGCTAAGTTCTTTCTTGACAATATCTATTGCTATCATGGATTATCCAAGGATATTATATTAGATATGAGAACTCAATTTGTATCAAGATTTTGGAAGACTCTTTTCAAGATTCTAAAAGTGGATATAAAACTATCTTCAATATTTCATCCTCAAACTCATGGATAAATGGAGCATATTAATCAAGTTTTGAAACAATATTTAAGATGTATCATCAACTATCGATAAGATGATTGAACAACTCTATTGCCATTAGCAGAGTTTGCTTATAATAACATGGTAGATTCTTCTACAAAATAAACACCTTTCTTTATCAATTATGGTTACCATCCACGACTTGATACTTTTGACTTTTCAAAAGTTGATAATCCTCTAACAAAAGATTTGACAAATCATTTGTCAGAGCTATATGCAACAATAAAGGTGCAGTTAAAAGAAGCTCAAGAACACCAAAAGATCAATGCAGATGTCTATGAAAAGGAACAACCACCATTCTACATGGGTGACAAGGTATGATTACTTCATCACAATATTAAGACCACTCATCCTTGTGACAAGTTGGACTATCGTAGACTTGGACCATTTCTTATTTTTGGACAAATTAATCCAATTGCATATCATTTATACCTATCGAAGTCAATAAAAATCCATCTAGTATTTTACAAGCCTCTTCTTGAACCATACAAGAGAGTAGACATGCTAAGAAAAAGACAAGCTCCACCTCCTCTTAAAGAAGTGGACAATAATGAAGAGTTCAAAGTGGAAGAAGTACTAGATTCAAGGTGACGTCAAAATAAATTAGAATAACTTATCCATTGATATGGATATGATATTAGTGAATGCATATGGGAGCTAGTAAAAAATCTTACAAATGCAACAAAGGTAGTAGAAGCTTTTCATCCATGACATCCATCAAAATCAAAATGAAAATCTTTCTTAAAAAAAAAAAAAAGATCTAAGTAAGATAACATTTTACTTTCAATCTATGTTTGTAGCTTCTTTATAGCTATGACACTACGGAGATGGAGAATCAACAACCAACAGATTCAATTGAAGAACCTTCATTTGCTGACTTGTTGGACAACACATTACGATTGTCACAACCTTCAAGATGATGCAATTGAGATGAAGATCTTCAAGAACAACATATTTTTCCTTAAATAGATGGCAAGATACAACGCATTTGATATCATGACCTTGGAAGAGACTCCCAATATTTGATAATTTTATTAAAGGTAGGAACAACTCCTGATGGTATTCCAAATGTTTTATTTGAAGGAAGTTATGAAGGTCTCAACAATTATCAGATAATATGGTGGTCTTCCTGTCTTGGTATGGAACACTATCGATAGTTGAGAGGCCTTATCAACCATCGTCGAAGAGAACAAAGATCTAAGTATGTGGCAAATACATCTCATCACATCATAAATTTCTTCAACATATGATGATCGCTTTTCGTGGAACTCATTCCTAGAAGGGGGAGTAACATCACGGACATATGCATGTAAGCTAATAATTACCTGTGTAAATAAGTAGAAGTAAGGAGAAGTAGATAAAAGCAAGTTAATTATATAATATCCTCTATGGAAGCTTCCTAAAAGCTTCATAAATACTACTTTGACTTTATAGGTATCTTTAATTGACTTTTTGGATTAAAAACGTGGTCAACAAGTTGGCCATGTGCCACACATGTTGTTAGGTTGAAGACTAAGCTAACTATGTGGCCGATACATAGAAAAACTTGCCTTGTAAGTGAAGGTATGTGTCCTATAAAGTCAATACATATTGGAGGTCCTATAAAACATTGCCACATAGTCCCTAATTAGATAATATATATAGAGATAAGAGTGAAGCCTTCTTCACTCTTGTCAACTCTTTTTTTGCTTTTAGTCTAGTTTTAAGAGTCTCAAGTTTTCTCGTCTTTTGGCAATAAGCCTTTTCAGTTTCTTTTAATATACATACTTCTTTATTTCTATTTTTTCACTCTTTCTTTTGACACAGATTTTATTGCTTTATGCATTATCTTTTAGTTCATATCCTTGACAATAAGTCTTTTCTCAAATAAAATTCTTTGATTTGCAAAAGAACCCCAGAGTAGCTATAGGTGTATGGTTTTGTGCTTTGAGATTTGATTTTGATCCAGGTTGATAACCAGTCCTCTTTGGGTATCAATTTTTGTCTTCTTGAGGTAAATTTTGCAATATTCCACTCCTAACTCCCTCCTAAATATGCATATATTGTTTATTTTTCTAATCTATCTTATTTTACTTTATTTATGGCTCTACAAAATAAATAGAAGCCTACTTTATAAAAAGACAGTATTTACACTTTTAGTTTACTATTCTTTAAATATTATCTATATTTCTAAGATAATTTTCTACAATATTTTGAAATAAGATCTTCTAAAATATTATATTTTTTCATTCTGTCATCTGTAAGTTATATTACATCACAAAAACATGTAGCATATAATTAACTTGTACTTTAAATTATCAACACATGTGATATTTTACTAACTTATAAGCCAAGTTTTTAACCTACCAATCAACTATAAATATGTGTAAAATCAAAGCCATATCTTCAAATTTTCTAAGAAGTTTTTCTAAAAGATATTAACAAACTTATTTACATTTATTTACTTCTATCTTTTCATATTATCTAAGTAACTATTAGAATAAGTATGTATGTTTATAAAATTCTACCCATAGATGATATCCATTGATATATTTCAATGATGTCAAGAAGGCAAGCCTCATCAAGATAATACAAAATCTTTGATTGCAAGTGGATTATAAAAAGTACAATGTTGCTCAAGTAAATTCAAATATAAAAAAAAATAGTCCAAATGTTGAATACAAATTTTAGATTAATTTCTTTTTTATGCCAAGATATATCCAACTTCTAGCTCTAATCTCAAATCCAAACTTCTTTTCAATAAAATACCTATAACTCATTTATTACTAATTCAATTTAATCAAAATTTAATTCATTGAGCTTAAATCAAGTTACAAACTTCAAATTGTCGAATTCAATAAATAAAAAATTTAAAAAATAAGAGCTAAACTAAGGAAAAAAATTGGCATTTACTCTAGCCACTGCCTTCAAAAACCCCATCTACAAATTAGCTTGGATTGCTCTCATCACAGCTCTTCTTCTTGTATACCAAGACTTACTAGAAAGCTAACAACAAGATCTAGCTTCTTTAAAATTTTTAAATATAAATAAATAAATAAATAAATAAATACAAGAAATGGTATAAAAAATCCCAAACCAATTTTGAATTATATCACTCCAAAAATTCCAACAACCTTCTTCCTACAAACTCATATGGATCTTCCTTGTCAAAGATTTTCTTCTTATGTGCTAAAACTTATTGGAAAGCTAATAACAAGATCTAACTTCTTTTAAAATCTCAACACAAAAAGATGAAACTACAATAAATGGCATAGAGAACTCCACACTAGTCTTAAATCACACTGCTTGAAAACTCCAGTAATTCTCTTTCTACAAATTCACATGAATCTCTCTTGTTACATGCAAAGGCTTATTGAAAAGCTTACAACAAGCTCTAGCTTTCTTTAAGTGCATTACAACAACACAACATTAAAGGAAGATTATGTGAGGTGATAAGGTGCTATTAGAAGACTGCCAAAATTAACAAAGATGCAATTAGATAGAAGGATAAAATCATGGGGGTGTTGTACACTTCTTCTCTGTTTAATTTATTAATTCAGGTGATTTAGAATCACATTGCTACACTAATTAAACAAGTTTGTCCCTTTGCAATCGTGTGGATAATTATATTGGGTATCATTTACTATAACACAGCTATCTCAGACCCTAGTTGCAGAAAATTAAGCCACCAATATCTTATGCAAGATTGATCTTGAGAGTAGATTCTTTAAGCAGCCTAAAATGCATTATACTTAAGCTCCATCGAATGTCTGGTAGCTTTCTCCACACTGTTGGATTCATAATGGTGCTGCTCTTGATCATCCTGTTGTGGAGCGAGATATCATCACCTGGTTATCCCTGGTAATCTAAACAAAGTGGATATTCATTGCTTCCTTCACGAACAAAAACACAACTACGGATGTGTTGTATATCTGCACTCAAAACACATGGTACTTTCAGGGAATACTATAGTCTCGTTGTATCGCATGATATCATGAATCTGACGTTAAAATATGTAGCTACATGGGTACAAGCATTTCTCACTTAGAAGCCTTCTGGCAACGATGTCGATGTCGATGTGAGTATATACTCACTGATCATGATAGCGAAAATTCTCTGATATAGTTCTTTAATCTACTTGTTACAAATGATCTGTGATAGTACTCATGCAATGCCCGTCTTATTGATTGGATATCCATTTACCCGGTCACTTTTCCTCTTCTAGACCTGCATTTTTGTAAATTCATTGAGGGAGACAGCAGTCAATGTCCTAGCAGACACCATTAATATGTGGCGGAATGAAGTGATTTGCAGGGATTAGTATGCGATTTAAAAATGGATTCCGACAGAGGAAAACCCAGGCGTAACGCGCTCCACATCGCCCCATGCAACCACTTAAATGTCCCACACGAAAATGGCCTCTCATTGCAACATGCATCAGAAACTGCAGAAATCCATTAACAACCATTAGCTGATTTAACTAACAGTACTATCACCAGTTAACAGAAAGATCTTTACCGCACAAAACATGCAAACAATTTCCATTTCCAGAAAAACACTATGTTACCTTTCAGACTGACCTATACAGCCTTGGGGGATGAAAAGTATTCCTCTGAGCTTGATCTAGCCGAAGACTAAAACCACTCTCGAATGGACGGTATGATGGACAAGAGAACCTTCGGGTCAAACTCAAGAGTCGACCTCAGAAGATTGTGCATACTTCTACCATGTATAGATATCCAGTACCCATGCGCTAAGACTTTAAACGATTTGTTTGTGTCCTTCCGATTAGTCATACACATGCTCCGAAGTACGTCAGAATATTCCACCTTATTCTGGGGGAGCATTTGCTTGAAGGCACAAGCTTGCCCCCCCTCCCGGAATAAGTCTCACTAGCAATCGTATCGAAGGATCACAACAGGGATGCGAGTCTAAATAGAAGGATACATGAAAATCCTGCACACCACCTGATTTTAATTAAGAACAATACTCTTTAAGAAGATGGCAGACAGCATCGATCGCTGATACTCTGGCTAAAACGTTCCTTCCGATAAGATTCTCTAAATATCGTGTGAACGGAAAGACCACGAAACATAGTAAATTATTAGTCAGCACCTGCACAAAATACTAATTCTCACCCATCTCTTATACGCCAATGTACAATCAGCATACAATACAAAACTGGAAATAGTGACAAGATGGTACTATCTCTGCGTAGTACCAACTCCGCACACCAAAGCTAGCTCCTACTTCCCTTCCATGATAGAGCTTGAAATAGGCTCACTGCACACGATAAACTCAAGGAGATACCCAATTCAGATAGCTACTACCTCAAATAATGAAAACATCCAACTTGTCCACGCCAAGCCCATCCATAGTGGACTCAAAAACCAAGACAGTGGAGCATGATGGCGTTTTGAGCGTGCATCCTATTCTCTGCTTGTGGGAATACAATCGATTTGGGGCCCTCAATAACACCGTCAGTGATCTCCACTCCTCTTTCAGCTGGAAGACAATGCATGAAATAGGCTTGAGGTCCGGCAGCTTTCATCAAAGCCTCGTTCACCTGTCGTCAGAAAAGAGTGGTCTTTTTCAAGGGTCACTAGGATAAATAACTTACGAGCATGCCAAAAGAAAAAAAAGAAAAATTAAAACATAAAACATATGCAGACCATCAGAGCACACATTTCATGAACCTGTAGACATACACTCCAATCTCAGTCTTTGATTTGAAACTGACATGCTTGTATGAATCTCAGACCAACTCGACTGTATATCCACTAAAATAAGCTATTCTGAAGAGATTTCAATGGATAATCAAACTGTGGACGCTATTGAAAACTGACGCTCTTACCTGGAAACCCTGGAAAACCGACTTCCGGTTGTCTGCGTCCTCCTTCTGGCCCATGCTGGCCCATACATCCGCATAAACGACATTTGCCCCCTTCACAGCCTCTACAGGATCGTGTCTGATTTCAATTTTGCTTACTCCTGCTCTGCGAGCTCTCTCTACTGTGGCAGCATCAGGCTCATAACCACGTGGGCATGCACATATGAAATGAAAAGGCAGCACAGCTGCCAGGCGCAACCAAGAGTGGACCATGTTGTTACCATCGCCTACGTACACTATCTACACCCCACACCCATGCACTCGATGGAGTTAGTCATTGAACTTCACAAGTTAGAGAATATAACTACAAAAAATGGACCTACTTAATGTGTTTTGTGATGGAAAATGTGAGCTAGAACATTCTAAAACACAGCCACATGCTTCCCACATATGAATTATTGTCCAACTAATAGAAGTATTCAAATCAAAAATACAGGTTGAGGTTTTCGCCAAAGTTAACCAAAACGTAAAAACCAAAAAACCACCGACGAATACCACTGTCAACTTATCACAAGATAGCACTATGTAGCGAATTCCGAAAGCAAGGCATACCTTCAGACCCTCTATATTGCCAATGAACTCATTAATAGTTAGGACGTCAGCCATGATCTGGCAAGGGTGGTTATAGTCAGTAAGTCCATTGATGACGGGAATCTTAGAATATTCTGCCAAATCCAGCAGATCCTGCATTCACCAGATCAGCGCTTTTAGAAGTTAAGCAAGGTACATAGAAAAGATAAGTGTATTCTCACCATTCTCTATAAGGACTAACATTCAAATCCTTCAGTGGTATAGCACTTGGGAGAAGATTTCAACAAAGATCCAGACTAAAGCAACACGTTCTGTTTCTAAGAAAATCAGAATTCTGTGGAAGGACTACAATGTTTTCGAAGATGCACCTTGTGTCCGAAGAGACGCGCCATAATGACATCGTTGTACCCTGAGAGTACACGAGCGATATCACGTGTTTCTTCTCGCTTTCCCAACTGAATATCGTTAGGACCTAAGTAGATGGCATGTCCTCCAAGCTGATAAAAACCAGTTTCAAACGAAACTCTTGTCCTCATAGATGGCTTAGTGAAAATCATAGCCATCGACATCCCCTTCAAAGGTTGATAACTCTTGTCCCCTGACTTCAGCCGAGCCTTAACTTCCACAGCACGATCCAAGATGTGTAGCAATGTATCCTTGTCAAAATCGTCAAGGTGCAAGAAATGCGTCGGCCCTTTCATCTTAGCACCTGAAAATTGCATTACTTATCAATGTCACAAAAAACCCAGACAGTATCAAAATAGTCCTCGAAAGTTCTTGAAGCAAGGCAGGCTTCTAAATTGCACAAAGGTAATGGAGAAGCAGCAAGACGAACTGAAGGTCAATTACCATCTTGCTTGCCTCCTTCCAAAGCACTGAAAATATCAGTCCTTGTCACAATACCTAAAAAGGTCAGATCTTGAAACACTTAGAAAAAATATGATAATTTGTTATAAAAATCAACGGAGGCTCGGAACGAGCAAAAAAAATGCAGTCGGAAAAGAGTTTGATTTGACTGGGAAATGCAAGTCGTTCATCACAATTCCTCGTAGTTATAATCACAACAATAATCACCTAAGCAGGTAAACAATAGCTGAGAATTTGAAGTAGGACGCAGAAACGTATATATATATATATATATATATATATATATATAATTCAAAATTACCTACGACTTGATTCTTTTCATTTACAATAGGAATGCGGTGAATCTTGTTCTTCAACATCAAGACCGCAGCATCTGCAATACCCATAACCATTCAAAAATTCATTGATTGACTTCTTAACAGTCCTTGCATGTTAAGGCAGCTATCAACATTCATGCAACTCCTTGTGAGTACTTCAGACCGGTGAGTTGTAAAACTTAGAACGTTTAGTTCTTTTATGTTCATGATGAGTAGGCTAATTAAGTTTAAAAACAAGACATATCAGGGAACTAAAATTAATCTCTAAATTCAAACAGAAAAGCTTAAACTCAATTTAGCGTTAGATAAATGAAGCACTCCACTGAAGTCCTCATAATTGGAAGCGTACCAGAGACAACCTTGTCTGCAGGTAAGGTGATTGCTGGTGTGGTCATGACATCCTTCACCTTTGTTTTCAGCTGTTGACCAAGCATAACATCAAATGTGTTCAGTGCATTGACCATCAACCACGATTAAGACTAGTATCAGAACAGGGAATGCATAATTCAACGTTCAGAGATGGAACAAACCTTATTGCTAAAGCCCTAGTACAAAAACCTCAGATATTACCGCCTAACATATCAACCACAAATCCAGTTACAATGGTTCCTTGCTCGAGCGTCAAACTCATTATTTTGTTCGAATTGGTCAGCAAAAAAGGATTAACTGCGCACAGTCTCAAATACATACGTAGTTAATAACCCAAACAAAGAAAATGGGCATACATACAGGTTTCCAGTTCATAAGATCTGCATGGCACACAAGAGCTGAAGTTAAGTGTGGTAAAAGTGATCACTGACATTTGATGTTTTTGATCGATCTTTTTTGGAAAGAACTCCAACGCATTTGTGCTCATGGTCGACCACAGGAAGGCCAGATATATCATAGAAGTATCGATCCACCTCCTCAAGAGATTGTTCTGGAGATGCAGTGATGATGGTTCGGGACATTATATCTGCGAGGTGTGTAGACGGTTGTGCCTGTTGCGACAACACTATTATTTAGGTACCAAGGAACAAAATTCTACACGAAATACACGAACAAACAAAACTTGAGAAGCTACGTACCTCTGGTTTGAATAGAATATGCTCATAGTATTTCGACAAATCTTCATAATTTAACAATGAGAAGTTCTCAGCCCACTCTCCTGATGGCAGAATGTCACCCTTTCCCTCCTTGGTATCAACGTCAATGCCTTCTGCGGCACGCACAACAAGCCTCCCAGCCTTCTTGCTGGTCTGACGCTTTGAAGGCAACGTAGAGCTAGAGCTCCACTGCCGGGACGACTTTGAGCTCGGTAAGCTCTGTAGACGGGAATTCAACGACGCAGTTGCGAAGGTACCACTCAACCGCAGAGCCATGACCATGGTGCTGGAACCCCTGCGTGCTTGAAGACACTATTATGAATCAGAACCTCCGATCTTGCCTCAGTGGGAAAAACCTCTAGTATCATGACCACACCTTGTATTGAAGGAAAAATCCAATCTTCGGAGAGCGGCTCGATCTCTTCCTTTATTAAAGGCAAAGGACGTAGTTTCAATTTCTTCAAAACTTAAGATTACAACCAGTTGGTTCGACAAGAGTGCCAGATACCTCTTTATTCTGCAATTAACTTGTGATATTGTAAATAGGCCAAAGACTCAACAATGCTGTGTCATGAAACGGAGTCAATGCATTTCAAGTATCCAGTTCTGAACTAGCCACAGCAACATCAATTAGAAATGAAATACTTGCACATCGAGTTACTAAATTTAAATCGCCTAAGACGATTCACATTGTGCCGGAGGGTCACGGTTAAGCTCAACCCAAAAACCTTAATAAATAAGTAGGCGGAGAGGTAATATCCTCTTTTGATGACCTTATTCAAAACACCAGGATTCTAAGAGAAATCCTAAAACCCTGAACCCTCGGTACACCCTGTCTCACTTACAAATACTAACATTAAAGCTATTTAGGAGATATTTAAATAAAAGAAAGAAAGAAAAATTAAAATTAAAAAAACTACTGTCCTTTCATCTTGACTACACAACTGAAGATCCCAAGCGTCATATCTAATTGCATGACTTTCCAAGATATTTTTATCTATTGCACCAGACAGCTTACTCAGCAAATTTCTAGTTAAAAAATTCAAGTAAGTTAAGCGTCCGAACTTTTGAGTTGACGCTAGACTGACATAGGAAACCTTCATTGACAGAAGGCACGCGTTTTGGCATCGATGATTGTCAATAAATTGGTTTTACTTACATACACCACACCTATCAGTGTGAAATGTAAAATATCTACTCACGGACGCCTGACAGGATGAGATATGGCTAATCCACCACAAGAATATCTACCTTAAATCCATAGTCCAATACAGACAAAAACCGAAAGCCAAAACAGAGCAAAACTAATAGCACATTTCCAGCCAACGAATGCATCCTCGGCACAGTACTTAGATTAACTAACCCGATAAAACTAAACCATAACCTGAACCCAATACCAATGGATATAACCGTCTTCCAACATTAGTTCCGCCAGCAATACCACCCTCAACGCATCTAAACCCTCGCGAAAGCTGACGATCAGAGAATACCACCATCTAGCGTATGCGTTGACATTTTAATCTCATACTCGAAGGACTTCAAAACAAGTGAAATATTCAGGCTCGGCAACACAATGCTGAGAAATCGAAGAACCAGGACCATATTGACAGATTCAACACGGAGAATGTTCAAAATTACCCTCACATTCCACACTCGGAATAACAGCATGCCGAGAACAGAGCGCTTGCCTGAGTGAGAAGAGATCAGGGATGAGCGACTGTCGATGAGTGCAGCCGTGAAATATCAGGAGTCAGGAGCAGAGAGAGAGAAAGAGAGAGGGGATATATTGACTACGAAAGGAAGCAGAGACCTCGTTATCTAATCCGCAACAGCTCCGCGAGAGCTCAAAATACTTGCCAATCGGTGACGGGGTCTGGAACCGTGGCGAAGGAATGATTTGGTAATAGGGGATGCGTACGTGGCTGTGCGTACGGATCTGAGCCTACGTGGCTATTGTGACCGTGACGGAATCCGACTTGGCAGAGGTGATGAATTCTTAGCTGGCCATTTGGTGACGATCACAGCAGGTCCGCCTGTGATCGGGAATATAGCATTGAGATTTTGTAACTTGAATTTGACGATGCTTTCTACTTAAGTTCAAAAAATTATAATAGATAAATAAATTTAAAAAATGCCTCAAATATACTCAAAAAATAACAGTAATGAAAGCATGAAAGTGGTTATTTGACAAGTTTAATTGATAAGTAAGTAAGTAAACCTTTAGACAAAAAAATATTTAAGTTTGAAAAAGTTCTATTAAGCATGTGTAATTTAAAATAATATTTTATTTAATTATAATAACCTTGGATTGTTTTTTTTGAAAATAATATAGTATTTTATCAAATAAATATTAATAATATTTATAATATATATACTTAATTGTTCAAATTATAAACTTTGAGTCTAAAAGATGATCAATTTTTTTAATACTAGTTATATTATTGAAATTTATTTAATTTATTTGATTTATTTTTTATATATTAACTTGTATGTGATTTGTTTAAATGTATCAAAATCATAAAAATTGGATACACTAGTTAAAATAAAAAAATATTTTTATACAAGTTCAAGGAGAATAAGATCAAATATAGAAATGTTAGAAAGATGAGGAAGTCCGAGAACAATTGATGCTAAGTGTAAAAAACTTGAGAACCTTGAATTAAAATTTTGATACAATAAAAATATTTCTAAAAAACCATAAGTCTTGCATGTTAAATGTCTAACTTCTAAGCCATTTTTATATAGACTTTCTAAAAAAAACAAACTTCTTTTATATTATCTTGAGCCATAATGTACATATTTATATACAACTTATGTTCAAAAAGTTTTTGTTTTTTTTTTAAAAACAAATTATCTATCAAATCTTTTTCTACTTATTTCTATTTGTTTGTATTTAACTCTACATACTTCAATGCTTTAGGTACATATAACATAACAAACCTTAATCTATACTTTGAATAAAAAAAAATAAGTTTATTAAAAAATATATATAATTTATAATAAGCATATATAATAATAGTAAATATATATAATATTTTCATTTTACATTCAATTACTACACAACTTAAATACGTATTTTGTATAAATACAAATATATATATATATATATATATATATATATATATATATATATATATATACAAACTTTATTGAATAAAAATTTCTTAAATGCATTAGAAAATTTTAAGAAATTTTAATATTAAAATTTATTATATATTTACTATTTACTATATATATATATATATATATATATATATACATAAATTTTTAGCTTGTAAAATTTATATTTTATAAAATTTAAAATAAACATTATAATTTTTTATCAAAATAAACTAATATAAATAATAAATTAAAATACAAAAAATACTCTTGTAATTTTTTGTGATTTTATTTTTTAATCTAAGATAATTAAAAAATATTAAAATAATTTTTATTTTCACCTTCTAATTTAAAACTTTTATTACCTTATAATATTAATAATTTAAGAATATATAAATAAATTATAAATTATAAAATTATAAAATTTAATTATAAATATTTATTTCATTTATAATCTATAAAAATAACTATAATTCTATATAATTACTTAACAATAGAAAAATATCAAAAAAAGCATATATGTATACATGATTGCAAAAAATTACAAGATACTTGATTTAAAGCTATTGGAACCATGTTGTTAATCTTAATTAACTATGAACCATATATAAAACTTAATATATTTAATTTATATATTAAAAAATTTATATCAAAAAATTTAAGAAATTAAAATCATAACTAAAAATATTGAAATAAAACTCAAAATGCCTAGAATATGAATCCAAACAATAAAAACATTCTTGTATTATTAGAAAAAATGGATATTCACTCAAAGATAGTAAAATATTAAAACTAAAATGACTATTGCCAAAGACAAGAAAATTAGAGACTCTTGAAACAAAACTAAGAACAAAGAAGACATTGATAAGAGTAGAGAAGGCTTCATTCTTGCTTCTATATATACTATCTAATTATAATTTATGTGACAATATAGTATTGGACCTTCAACACATGTCTAATTTATAAAATAAGTTTTTATATGTGCATCACATGGCCAACTTGTTCCAAAAGTCACTAATATGTACAAAACGTGGCTATGTTGTAGGCCAAGTTTTTAACCTACTAATTACTTACAAATACATTTAAAGTCAAATCTATGTCTTTGAAACTTTTAAGAAACTTTTTTATAAGATTTTACTAAATTTATATAGTTTTACTTACTTCTATCTAATTCTTTTGATCTAAGTTAATATATATATATATATATATAATATTATTTCCCTTCTAGAAACAAGTTTAATAAAGAGCAATGTTCACATGCTAACGAAGTTCAAGATACAATAAATTATATTTGTCAAATACTTTGATCTTTATTTTTTTAAAATTTAGTTGATAGATTATTTAAAGATGAAATATCACCTTGAGTATAGGCCTTCCATATGCATGTCTTAAAGTTGCTCTAGATGTCCCTTGATATTCAATTGCTTAGGCTTCAAAAGAATAATTTATTATCAAACAAAACTTATATCTTTTGCTTCTAGTGTAAGATAAGAATGTTTAGAAATGGTATTTGATAAACCTTATTATTTTTTTAGATAAGTAATCTTAAATTTGAATCTTGATAAAGACATACTCTAATAAAATTTGTAATGATTTAGATCATATATTGATATAAAATACTCAAGATTCTTATGATCTAAAGAAACAATTATTGGACTAGAAGTGTTTTTCAAATAATAATACTATTTTTAAACTAATTATATAACTGTTAGATTTTTTTTTATCAATTTTGAGTAATTGATTTCTATTGCTTTTACTTTAATAAAAAGATATATAGTGAAGTTTATTGATTACTCTCATTTGTGATAATACCACACCTAATCAAAAAATGATTGAATTTATTTCTATAAATAATGCTTTAAAAAAGTTAATGCTATATAAAATTAGCATATAAGTAAAACATATCTTTAAAGCTTCAAATGATGCTTTAACTTCTTTATTCCACTTTAATTTGTCTTTACAAATCAAACAAGTAAGTAGAATTGCAACCTGAAAATAGTCTAGATAGAGATCTAATAATAACTAATAAATCCAAAAAAAATATTAAATATTTCTTAGTATTCTTAGAATCTTTTAATCCATGATCATTTAAACTTTTTTATAATCTATGATAGTTTGAATTTTCTTATAATCCATCATTAGACTATCATTTAAAATAATATATCCTAAAAAATCAACATTAGTTATATAAAATATATACTTTTCTATCTTGGCATATAATTATATATCTTTAAGTTTTTGAATATCACAAAAAATATAAAATTTACACTTTTTGGTACTCTTAGAGTAGATTAAATTATTGACTTAATAGAAGACAATAAAATCATCTAAAAACTCTCAAAAAATAACATTAATTAGATGTTGAAAAGCAATTGGTATATTTACAAATCCAAAAGAAATGCCATTATATTTAAAATATTTATATCCAAATTAAAATATAATCTTTTATTCATTTCTTGCTTTGATAAGTACCAAGTTGTATATTTTTTGTAGATATATTTTTGTATGGATCTTTGCTTGATTTAATTAATCAATAAGTCCTAAAATAAAAGATAGAGGATAGTTATTTTTATGATAATCTTATTAAATCCTTAATAATCTATATATTTATAATAATCTATATATTACTTTATAAATAAGATAAGAGCTCATCTTAGAGATTTCAAATGGCATATGAAGTTCTTAGCCAAATTCTTATTAATATACAACATCAATGCAACCAACTTGTTTTTATAATAAGTTATAAATTGATTCAAATGATAGTTAAATTTCTTCTTAAAAACCAATTGAGCAATCTTAAAAATAATATTTTGGAATAATTGTTGCATTTTTGTCTCAAAAATATCTAGATAATCTTAATACTGACTTCAAATGCCACTTAATGTCTTTCTACCATCAAAATCAGATATGACACAAATAAAAAAATATGACTTTTTTTTGGCAACATGTATGAAAGCTCTTGTATCTACTATTGAAGATTTGGACTTATGAATTTTTATTTCAATAGCAAAAGTCTTGATTATATTATAGAAAAAATCAAGGTTATCAAAAATCTAATTTATTCAAGGATTGTTATTTTTAGTGACAATAAATCTTAAATAATTAGATTGGAAGCAGATTTAATAATTTTAAATATTATTAAGCTATTATAATTATTAATTGCTACATCTATTAAAATAATTTCATAGATTATATCTCTAAAAAATAATAAATAACTATGTATGACTTTTACATGTACAAACTTAGCAAATAGAAAAGGATATGAATCACAAACACTAAAAACTTCAATATACTCTTATGTTATTAGAAAAGAATAGATGATAAATTAAAGATAATATATTAATAAACTAGAATGGCTATTATTAAATATGAGAAGACCAAAGATTCTTAAAATAAGACTTAAAATAATAAAGGGGCTAATAAGAGTAAAAAAAAGGCTTTAGTCTTTCTTCCATATATATTATCCAAATAAAAATCATATAACAATATTTTAGAAGACCTCCAATATGTGTCTTACTTGCAAGATATGTATCTAATCTACAAGAAAAGCTTCTTATGTATGCGCTATATGGTCGATTTATTCC